AAGCCTTTTCCAAGGAGGGTACCCCTATAACGCCCTATTGAGCAACAACTTTACGTCCCAAACGCCTTCCTTGCCCGCCCGCCCACAAACGGACGACCGTTTCTGACGCTCGTATTCATTCATTTGCTGAGCAAATTATGAAGCAAAGGGATTGGTATGAAGCGGCGGTGATGCTGCATGCATATATGGGTACACATATGCAGCCGTATCTTCGGTAGCGGTGATTGGCAAGATGCCTACGGGAAACTCGTCCGAAATCGATTTTCAAGTCACTGAGAACGGAGGCTTTTTCTTCGCAGGATTTTGACCGTTCTTTCGCCATTTCCCCACTACATAGCGCCCTACTAGCATTTTAGGCCGAGTAAACCATCGTGCCAACTGCCTTTAAAGACAAACCACTGAATTGTCCGATTGCATAGTGTGGATAGTGACCTTCAGTTACGAGCCCACAGTTGCTAAGTGAGTTCAAGAGAGGAAAAAAGCAGGAAAAAAAATTATGGAGAACACCACAGCAAGGACCCCTTGCAGTCTCACTGAACGCCTTCTCTGAACCTGCTTGTTTTATGCCAACAGAGCGGTGACCTGGCTCCTCTTGCGCGCTAATCTCTTCCTTGCTTTACCCAGTGCTAATACTCTAACAGTGAAAATGCTAATACTCTATCAGTGAAAAGAGAAGAAAAGCACGGTGTAAAAACTAAACCGTGACAGAAAAAGCCTTTAAATTGTGGTGGGCGGGACAAGTAAAGGAGGCGTCGTCTCGCATCCCAAGGTTTTGGGGAAGGGGCGTGGCCTGATGACTGCCATCCGCACTTCCACCAGCGTTTGGACTGCTGTTCTGTCTCCTAGCCATCCAACTCGCCGGTATAAAATGAAGCAGTGGCTACCTGCCTGAACCCCGTCAACATCATACGGCTTGACGCTCTAGAGAAACAGAAATATAGATAGTAGTTCTAAGAATGTCAATGTTGTGTCCTTTTGAGAATAAGGCAGCAGCAGAATATTTATTGGAAGACAGTAGAATAACATCTAGCAAAATGACCCGTTTATATACTGCTCTGCCTGGTCAAATGTCCCTAGTCAAACCAGGCAGATCTATAACAATGCCAGATCAAATACCTACATGTAATAGATCACGGTGTCCCCAACACCTCCCCCCTAAGATTGACGGCTGCCGTACGATTTAGCGTACGGGTCAATCTGAAGAAAATCTGGAGGGCGACGAGTGCGGCTCGATCGTCGTCTGGTAACGGCAGAAGGCGCTGGTGGTGCAGTTGCAGTCGTCGTCGTCGTCGTTGTTGTTGTTTGTTGTTGTTGTTGGAGTGGCACTGACCATTGAAGACTGAGGCGTCGTACGAGTCGTCGTCGTTGATGGAGGCGATGTGGCGTTGAATGGTAAGTCGAATGCGTCAAATGATAAGTCGAAGGCGCTCATCAGCTCTTGCGTAGCTTCCGTCGATACGCGTGGGCGGAGCTGGTTAGCGTGGCGTCTCCAGATGAATCCATTGACTTGAACGTCGTACAGAGTGCGTCCACGTCGGCATAGGATCCGTCCTTGTGTCCATCTGGGTTGTCCGGATCGATAGTCACGAGCGTAGACCATATCATCAGATTGGAACGTCCTGGGTTTGGCTCCATACTGACGGTTGAACTGCTCCTCCATTTTCGTGTCCACAAAAGCTTTTTGTGTCCGGTCTCAGTAGATCCAGTGTGTTGCGAAGGCGTCTTCCGAGGAAGTTTTCTGCGGGACTCCTTCCACTGGGCGAAGCGGTGCAAGGCGTATTTCGGTATGTGAAGAGGAATGTTTGGAGAGCTTCGTCGGTCGGTCCGTGCTTCTTCAGCTTCCCGAGCGTGCGCTTGAATGTGTCCACGAAGCGCTCAGCTTGTCCATTGGACTGCGGGTGGAAGGGCGGCGACCGGATGTGCTCGATTCCTTTCTTGATGCAAAAATCCTGGAACTCAGTGGAGGTAAAACTTGAGTTCTCATTTATTCCGAGACGATTGGGTGCGAGGAACATCGATGCGCGAACAGGCGACGGAGTTCCTTGAGTGTGGCAGTACTGGTTGTGGAACTCATTGAGATGACTTCAGGCCATTTGGAGAATGCGTCGACGATCACCAGGTACGATTTTCCATCGATTGGGCCGGCGAAGTCGATGTGGATCCGGCTCCACGGCGCATCTGGACGGAGCAAGAACAAAGTGTATCTGACTGGCGACTTGGCGGCTTCTTGGCAATCGTTGCAGGCGCGGACGAGTTTCTCCAAATCCTCGTTGATCCTTGTCCAGAAGACATACTGACGAGCGAGGGCTTTCATTCGGTTGATTCCTGGATGTCCCTCGTGTAGCATTTTCAGAACAGACGGCTGGAGTGATGGCGGGATGACGATGCGGCTTCCAAAGAGCAGGCATCCTTGCTGTGTCGAGAGTTCGTTGCGTAGGTGGGCGTATCCAGCAGCGGTGGGCGACGGCTTCTTCGGCCAGCTGTTGTGGGCGACATGGTCCATCACTTGACGGAGGCAGTCGTCTTCGGATGTTGCGTGGGCAACCTCTTTGGCAGTAACCGGTAAGCGGTTCACAGCCTCGACGAAGATAGCGTTAACGTCCTTGGCGATAGTGGCAATGATGACGTCTTCTTCCGGAGGCGATTGCATGGCGATGAGACGAGACAGTGCGTCGGCTTGTCCGAAGCTTGCGGTGTTTCGGTACTCGATGTCGAAATCGTAAGCGAGCATTGTAAGTCTCCATCGTTGCAGTCGGTTCGCGGAGTAAGCCGGGACTCCTTTCTTTGATCCGAATATTGCCAGAAGTGGTTTGTGGTCCGTGAGCAAGGTGAAGTGGCGTCCGTAGATGTAGCGATGGAATTTGCGGACAGCGTAGACGAGCGCTAGACCTTCTTTTTCCACTTGACCATAGTTCTTCTCCGCCGTGGTGAGAGAGCGGCTGGCGTGATACACAGCTTTCTCAGTTCCGTCTTGATAGCGATGTGAAATAACTGCTCCGATCCCATAGTCTGAGGCGTCGGCCGCGACGATGATGGGCATCTTCGGGTCGTAGTGAGCCAGGAGCAGGTCCGAAGCGCAGAATTCTTGGCGCGTTCGAAGCGGCTTCGCATTCGGAGTTCCAGTTGAACGGAAGCTTCCTTCTTGAGTAGTGCGTCGAGCGGTGCACGGAGCTGGCGCATCTCTGGAACGAATGCTCCGTAGTGGTTAATGAGTCCGAGGATGACGACCTGGGCGGTACTCCTTTCAGGGTGTTGGGACTTGGAGATAGCGGTCGCTCTTCTTTTTCGGATCGGGTCGGCGTGCGCCAGCAGTGTGGCGATGACGTTTCCGCAGTTAAGGTAGCTGGGTCACTCACGAAGTCGGCCACTTTCGACTGCGGACGCGGAAGCCGTTAGATCGTTATATCTTGGAAAATAGCGCTTCCAGTTGGCTTGAGAGTGCGGCCGGTGACGATGACGTCGTCGAGGTAGGCAGCAACGCCGTTGAGTCCAGCGATCATGGAGTCGATGATCTGCTGGAAGATGCCAGGAGCTGACTTGACTCCGAAACGGTAGACGATTGTATCTGTAGAGTCCTCTGTGTGTGTTGATGGTGAGGAGCTCTCTGGAGTCGTCATCGACTTCGACCTGTAGATAAGCGTCGGCGAAGTCGATTTGTGAAAAGACGGTTCCGCCATTGAGCTTTGTGAAAACATCCTCCGCGGTGGGTAGTGGATGCCTATGCAACAGCAATGCGTCGTTGAGTCCCGTCGAGAAATCGGCGCAAAGTCGAATGGTACCATTGGCCTTTCTCACAACGACGATTGGCGCAGCCCATCGAGAGTGATCGACGGCGGAGATGACGTTCTGTGCCATGAGACGGTCGATCTCGGCGTCGACGAGCGGTATGGAGGCGTAGGGAACCGGTCTCTCTGTGATGAGACCCCCCCGACGCGAGCATCGGGCTTGAGGTAGAGTGTCGCCTTGGTCTTGGTGCAGTATCCAAGTCCGGGCTCGAAGACATCCATGAATTGGTGCTTCAGCTTGGCGATCGTTTGGTCTCGGAGGGCCTCGTTGTTCAGTGTTTGAACCTTCTGCACGTTGAATCTCCTCAAAACGTGGTCGAAGTCTGGAATCTGCTCGATCCACGTGATGCCGAGAAGGTCGTTGTCGTCGGAGACATAGCAGGTGCCATGTCCGGGATGAGCCTTCCCTCGATTGTCCATGACCACGAAAGCGGCTTCGAAGCTTCCGTGAATTGGTAGTGGGGATCCATTGGCTCCTTTGAAGACGTCGGAGGTCTTCTGTAGGTGAGGGCTTCCGAGCTGCATCCAAGTTGGACGAGAAATGATGGTGACGTCGGCGCCAGTGTCCAACTGGAGGCGGGTGGGATGTCCGTTAATGTGAACTTCCAGGTACTTCTGGACATCTCCTGGACGGCCGATGACGCGTTGGTACCAGGTGCGCGGTGATGACTGCTTGATGCGACGTCGTGGCGCAGTCCTTGACTCCTGGGTGGCACTGGTAGCGTGGCGGTTTTTCTGCGACAGTCTCTTCCCGGTGGTTGCTGCTGACAGATTGCGAACTTGAGGGTTGGCAGCTGATGATATGTGCGCGAGGCAGACGGTGCTTCCTCCTCTTCTGGACAGCATGGATTTCTTGTGAACTGACGGTTTCGACGATTCTGGAGTCATCTTTGACCGATTTCCAGGCATGGTATTCCTTGGCCAAATCGTCGATGGTGGTCTTGTCGTCCTCGTCCAGCTTGCGCAGGAAGCGGACGCGGTAGTCGGCGAGCTCTGGAGCTTGGAAGGCGAAAACAAGAGCCAGGCATTCCAGAGTCTCTTGCCTGATTTCCTTGAAACGGGCTTCCATGGCGCGAGCCTTCAGCGAGTTGACGAAGGTATCGATGTCTTCGTTCGGCGAGAAGTTCATCCGGAAGCATTCAAAGCGACGGCGGAAGAGACTTTTCTTGGTTCCGAACAGTGTCTTTAGAGCATCGAGCGTTTCCGTCCAGTCTCAGCGCCTCCGGTGCCTCTTGGAAGGATGTGGCGCACGAAGCGTGTGTGGCTTGTAGCGTCCAGTGCAGAGACGAGGAGACGTGTCCTCATCTTCTCTTCCATTCCCTGACAGTCGACCTCGAAAATGTCCTTGTGCCTGCTGAACCACATGCTGAAGCAGTCATCTTGATCGGCGTCGTATGAGAACTTGTCGATCCTCCTTGTCATTCGGTCGAAGATGGATTCTTGCGGCGTGGTTGTGGGCGATGACATCTTCTGAAGCAGGTCGATGAGGAGCTTCTGCTGGGTGGCCATCATCTGCACTAGATCCTTGAGTGGCGCTTCTTCTGACATCATTGTGGCGGCGGTGTGGTCCTCGAAGTCCTTGTCCTGATCGCCAGTTGTTGTGTCCTTGAGAATAAGGCAGCAGCAGAATATTTATTGGAAGACAGTAGAATAACATCTAACAAAATGACCCGTTTATATACTGCTCTGCCTGGTCAAATGTCCCAGTCAAACCAGGCAGATCTGTGACAAAGCCAGATCAAATACCTACATGGTAATAGATCACGATTGTCCCCAAACCAAGTCAAAAAAAAAAAAAATTTTTAACCCAAATAGTGAATACTCAAATTTTTCCACTTTCAGAATTCGATGACCCTATGCGTCAAACTCTATACGTTCTGACCTCTATGGCAATGGATTTGGTGAAACAGCTGAGGCGTGCGTCTTTGCTGCAGACTGCAGGACAGCAGGTATCAAATGAACGCCACTTCATTTATACCATGTCGTTTTGGACGTTCCACGCTGGTCGTATGGGCGGAGAAAGAAAAATATCTATTATCTTCTCCTCGTCCCTCATTTGCATTTGTTCCCTTCTTATCGCCTCAGAGGATAGGAAGCGCCGCGACGAAATGAAGAAAGGCACATGCGTTCTCCGTCCCCACTCATCTGATTATCGCTAAATGTACCTCCGAGTAAGTCGTCCTTCAATTGGTTTTCAGGTGGATTTCACCGCCAGTGTCGATCTGGCGAGAAAATTGCGTAATGAACTGAATGATCGCTTCCTCATTGTTCGTAGTGAGAAGGAGAATGAAAACAACACCAAGCACACCGTACCTGATCTCATTCACATGGTCAGTTGAAGTGATGTGCGTGCTAATATTATAGTCAGACCACGTCGTACGTTGTTGAATCCTCAGTGGGGGTCGCATTTGGTCGCTGGAGGAGGGGGATCGTATTTGTCCGCCAAGTGTACAACTACTATTTTTGATAGTTAAACTAGCATTTGGACGCTGACGACCTCCCCCCTCCCCGACAGCAAAATTTTGGGGAAAGCTGGAAAACTATCGGGCACTTCTGGAAAAAGTGGTAGGAAGTCGAGAATATTTAGCAACTATTGGGTAGGATGGGGAAGAGGAGGGAAATAAGGGGGGTGGGTCGTAATTTCCAAAAATTTTCCCCAGCGGCAGGACGTGCCCTGATTATAGTGTAGTTTGCTGCGGATGAAGGGAAGTGTCAGGCGGGATGCATTTAGCGCGTGGCAAACCCGTTCCCATAAGTTGCTGAAGTGGGCAAGTGACAGACTGTATCATATTGTTCATACACTCGTTTTTCTACCAACCTGTCGCACATCCGCTTCAACATCTGGCGGGAAGGAGCATGACGCCGTGGCACACTCATACTGCCTGACACGCCCCTTCGTAGCGAACTAGTGTATACCTATTTTCGTTTCCAGGTAAAAATTCTCGAGAGAGAGACAACCGCACTTTGCACGAGAGCGTATAAACCTGCAGAAGATTATGAGCACTACAGAAACAGACATGTGAAGTCATAGTTTGTTATCGTTCATTTCGGACTGTTCCAAAGCGGATCCTTTTAGCAGGTAATTCCGGATTTGACGGAACGAATTGCCAATCAACTTCGTAACATTCACTCGGTGATGGGCGAATTCAGACGAGCCTGCGGTCAGCTGCAAGACCCGTCGAACAATGCCAACGCAAGAAAAGACGGTCCGGCGAAGTGATTAACATCCACTTGTCTCATGTAACTGCCCCACATGGCTTTCTCGGTGGCTAGCCATTTTTTCCTAAAGATACTGGTGATTTAATCTCATTTCTCTTCACTGCTAATTACATCGTTTTACTCAAGTTTTACCGTATCACTGTCACTGTAAATTAAAAGTATGAAGTTGAGTTTTTTTTTCTCAACGGTTTTGTTGCAGGTATTTTTTTATTGGAACACCTGGCCGATGTGGGTTTAGGTGTGTGTAACGCATGAAATACACGTTGCAGTGACAAAAAAAACTAGCAATCTTTTGGCCAGCTTTCTCGACATGCTGTAGCACATACATGAGAATTCAGGCTCTGGTGCGAATATCGCGCGTGACATGACATTAAGCTGTTATTTAATTCTGCTGGTTGATTAATTTTTACTCAGTCCAGTATTAGAGCAACGAGTTCTTGCTGATTTCGTAGCGGGTGAGCTGGGTGGGAGTTCAGCGAATGAAATGCGACAAAAAAGCATTGCAAATAATGTGACTTCTTGACAGTGAGAACAGTTCACGCAGCTTGTGAAGTCAGTCAGCAAATGCTTGCGAGCGCGATACAGCGGCTAGGATGTTCTTTATTCAGCACGTCCTACAG